TTTTTTCAAAGTGCGTAATTTTTTCAAAGTGCGTTGCCACAGCGCGTCTTTTACAGGAATGTGTACAGGGGAATTAATTTATATGCGATAAATCAACAAAACTATGAAGAAGTTTTTTTTATTTATACAATTTGCGTAAATTCTAATTATTATATCAAGATTTTTTTTTCAATTAATTGTTTTATGTTATCCCAATCAGATAAAACTGATCAACTATTGCGAGAAATGAATATACATCAAAATCAGACGCTAATTAAAAACAGTTTGATATATACAATGATTATTATTATTTCTAAACTTTTTAAAAGTAATTTAAGTATAATTAAATAAAACTGAAAATAGTGTAGACCAATAATAGTGTTTTATATCTTTGATTTTACATGTATTCTCCATCTGCATGCATTGCAATTTCTAAGGTTGTGCGGTCTGAAAAAAGAAAGAAATTCAAAATATTTGATTCTGTCTCTGGTGTGTTCCCCGAATGGCTACTGGAATAAAACAACAAGTAATTATCACACTCAATTAAGGGGCCCTCTAAGGGGTACAGGTAGACTTACCTGTGTTTACCTGGATAAGCAATATTTTGTAAATCAGATATATTCATTCAATTATATTTTAATTCAGAGGGTTTTCTATTTTCCGAAATATACTGAATAAAAATATATATAAATATAAGTAGATAAGATTAAGATTAAGAAAAGTGAAATTTTTATTGTACCTTTAATTTAATTTTTTCCCCAAATTATTAATAATTAATAGTATTGATTGAAAACTTAAAAATTATTATCCCTTTTTGTGCTACATTTTCAAACTCTTTTAGATAAATTAACACAAGTGGTTTATTTTTTAATAATATACCGGTAGATATATATGTATGATAAATAAAGTGTTTCTATAAAGTTTTGTTTAATTTATTTTATTTATCTATCAATTTTAATTATTAAAACATTCTATCAAATAATCATAATATCCAGATGAAGTTTATGAACTTCTTCACCTTTCATAGCAATCCTTAAGTTGCAAAGAAATATACGGAGATGGACTAAATAAATTGTAAATATGTGTTATATGAAAGTGAAACAGTGTTATGTCATATATAATGTGAAAATCAGTGCTGCTAATTAATAGAACTTCAAGATAATTTATAGTTTTTAATATGATTTGTGCTTGTAAAATTATTTATTTAAAAAATATGTATACAAAATATTTATATAGTGCTCAAATTAAAATAAAATGAGATGAATTTCCATTTATTTTGTTTCAATTATGGTAGATTATTCGTACCGGTAAGTCTACCTGTACCCCTTAGAGGGCCCCTTAATTGAGTGTGATAATTACTTGTTGTTTTATTCCAGTAGCCATTCGGGGAATAAACCCTGTCTCTCGGCGCACAGATTTATCGCTTTCTTCAAAAATTAATTAAAAACGAAAATTTAATTAACCCCCCTCCCCTCCCCCTCCCAAAAAATGTTTTTATTTTTAATAGAAAAATTTCCTAACATAACAATTTTGACCAATGAATTCAAATTAAAATGTATCGAAAATAATTCTATAAATTCTTTTAAAAGTTGTTTAAATATTTCATTTATTCTAGTAGACATTAAATGTTGACTTTAAATGATTCAACACCTGATTGCCGATAATTAATCCAAGAATTATGAAGAAGATTTACAACAAGTTGCTTATTTAATGTCAATATTTACGGAAAATTTACTTTCCGGTCTAGTATTTAGTTCGGCAAAATTAGAAAAAAAAATACCTGACTCGTGCTGGTACAAAGCCCCGTGCCTATAAGTTTGTTATAAGTTTGCAAATAGAGATTGGCTAAAAGACGTTTTCAAACAAAATATCTTTGGTGAAATTGGGAAAACTTTTTTTTAATCAAAAATCTTTAGCTGTAAAATATGCAGACCATCAGAAACAATTAATCCATTTGTATTTTTTTTTACATGAATTAGAAAAAAAGTAATTGTGTTTTCAATTTATTAGAAGCAAAACTCAACAGTCAATATTTAATGCGGATTTCCTTACTTTTCTGGGGTTTTTTTTTTTTTGGACAAGTCGACACGGCTAATCATTGACTTAAGGGACTCATTTTCTACATCTTTTCATTTTGATTTTTTTTTTTAAATAAAAATTAATTTCCAGTTGAGTATAAATGATGATGTAGAAAACACACAAGTGCTGTTTTATGTTATCAGAGAAATTGACGGGATTATGATAATTCAAAACTTATTTTAAAATCTGAAGATTTGAGAAGATGTGTAATCTTCGCCATAATGATAATGAATGGAATATATTTAAAATACATTGTACGTAGAAGGCTGCTATTCGTAGTGTCTTGTAAAGAGAATTCATTTGACAAGCGCATTTTTATTCTTCCTGCAAAATATCGTATTGTTTCTAACATAGAGTCTAATAAATGTTTTGATCACGTTTTTTCGATAATTTCAAGTAGGCATAACAGAAAAAATATGCATTGGATAAAGATCCAGTTTAAAACTTATATTGAACCGTGTCATTGTGAGAAGACAGTGCCCTTAATATATTGATATGTTACAAAATATATCACAAAATCGTGCATGTTTGATTACACAATGTTCAAATCGTGTGTTCAGGGTTTATCTAAAATTGGAAGAAGTCGAAATAATAAACACCCATATTAAGGACACAGGAGGGCGAACTATAACCACACACCGATTACCTCCCCCCCCCTCCCGCGCATCCCATTCCCGGTGTCGTATTTACAAATCATATCACCTGATTGCACCTGGGTGCAGTGAAGCATATTTTTAAATGGATTAGAACATCTGAAATATCATTAAGATTAATCGCTTTACTGACAACGTGGGATGGGGGGGGGGGGGGCACATGGATTACAAAATTCATTTATTTTACATAGTTGTCAGGTCTAGATTCAATTATTTTTACAATGAAACATTGACTACCGTTATATAATTGGATCTAAATTAATTTTTATAGTAGAACTGCTGTTAAGGTGTGGAGGGGGGGACGTAAATTTTGAAAGCATAAATATTGACAATACATAAAAATTTTGTGTTGTTGAGTTAATGATAAGCAATGACTTCAGAAGTTTACACTACGATAAATTGAGGGTTTTTAAATCTGACAAGTTAGCAAAAAATTGTCAATGTCTTGAAATTTACATTGACCTTACGACGACAAAGAATGAGGAGGGAGGGGGGGGGGGCAACCTGCAACCACATAGACAGGAAAATTTACTAAAGCAAAAATACAATATATACTCAGGAAAAACAGGGTGCAACATTGTATCCTTTTTCAGCATCTTCTAAAAGGAACGCATAATAGAGTACATTGCTAACTCCGATATTTAATTTTTTTTTTTAGCTAGACGAAATCACAGGAGTTCGCATACCTATAAATTTTGCCGAAATTGTCGGTAAATAGAAATGATACACCGTACGTAATAATAACACGTTTTTTTATTTAATGAAAATTTCGGTATAATTGATAGGTACGCGAATTCCTGTGACGAAATAAAAATGTAAAATAAGATCTATAAATTAAATCCAACGGACTTGTGCGTTTGGACATGCCGAGGGGTATCGTATGGAGTTTGCAATTGAGAAACGATACTTGAATTGTGTCTGGGGTCATGTTGCGAAAATAGAACCTGCTCAGCTGTGCAAAGCGACTTGTTTTCTCTTCCGAGAAAGTCTATAATAAAGCTTTTAAATTGTTCAGGTACAGATAATCTATTAATTTTTCGAAGATTTGACTGGGATTCTTCGATAAAAGTTGGGCCGGTTTAACAGAGTCCAAGGTCGATCGAGAAAATGGTTTGCAATAGTGCGACTGAGATTCGCATGTCCTACAGCTACTTCTACGAAATTGACCCGAAGGCAGATGAACATCATTTCCGCTGTCAGTTTCCTATTTCAACTAAAAATCAAGATAATTTTTAGAAGCAATCTTTTTTAAATCTTGGAAAACATTTTAAAATTTTTTTTTATTATTTCTAAATTATACACTCTAGCGTGCTTTTACCCCCAAAAGAACAGAAGGAATTCTTAGTATTTTCATTTAGTACTCTTTTGAAAATTTTAATGTAACATTTTTTATCATATACAATTATGGTTTTTCCCTCAACAAAATTGACTATTATCCTTAATTTAGGTTTGCAGAAACGTGTATTACCGGTATTTATGTTAGAACTGAATTGCGAAAAGGTATTTACTAAAAGAAAAACCTTGTGAAATTAAGAAAGTGAGTTGTGGAATTAGGGTCGCATGAATACTTAGATACCGGCCTAGTGAAAGTTGCTTATAAATTCTATCTTACCAGTAAATATACCTAATACATGTACCTAGTAAAACTATACTTTTAAGGTAGTGATTATATGGACAGTAAAATTTATTAGTTTTCTCAATGACTTAAACTACTTATTTTTACAGTGTTTTGTTTGCGCATTTTAAACTTGCAATCAATGCATAAAAATTGCACGAATTATTATAAAATATTTTTTTTTAACTTTCAACTTTCATTAATTGGTAGTTGTTTTGAAATTCTTAAGCTTTTATTTCAGCAAAAACTGCAGTCAAATTTAATTATTATAATATATAAATTTCAATAAAGAAAGTGAAAAAACGTCTCAAACTTTATGACGTCGCCAGGGACATATATGTCCCTCCCGCAGCGAGCGGTAAAAGGACATATATGTCCTTCCCGCAGCCAGAGGGTTAAAGTTTGTATAAAAGACAAAGACAAATATGGTGGTTCATGATCATAGTATTTTTACACGCGTTGACATTTCATTTTATTTTTTTTTTCACCATGAGCACACTCGTTACCGCAAAATATTTTCATTGGAAATTATTTGTCGAACAGTTATAATTATTTTTCTGTTTCAATATTTTGCGGTAACGACTGTGCTCTATGTGAAATAGGGTCTGAAAGTCTCGTTTACTTTCACTTTCGTTTTATAACTTCCGGGCAGCTCAGCGTTCTTGGAAACAATGGATTACCGCTTCGCATTAGATTTTAAGCCTCGCAGCGGACTTGGAAAGTCTGTCATGTCGTTTGTTGCCCGATTATTGAAAAGAAGAGGGGAAAGTGGATTGAGTTAAACAGGTAAACAGGTAAACAGCCATTAATTGTTTTTTTTGTTTTATAAAGTGACGTACATACAAGCTATCCGGAATGGGGCACGATTAGCGAATATTTTAAAGCATAAAAGGAAAATTAAAATAGTTTTCAAGCTGAAATAGCGTGTTTTCAAACTAAAAAGTTTCCCAAAGATTGGTTCCATTACTTTATTCCATTGATTTAGCTCACGGGACAATATAATCAGGTTGGGATTGGGATATAGTGTGCAAAGTCATTAAAAACAAATGGAAAATACATGTACATAATTTTATACATGTATCAAAATGCATCGATCACGGGGAAAAGGGTTGATAACTACATTTAAACATGATCCTGATAGAAATAAAATTCGTTATTTATTTTATTAATAATATTATGCATATACCATTACAGTAGATATAAAGTAGATGAGCTGATTACATGTATGTACTCTATCCCTTTGATCCAGAAATAAGAATGTCAATCATTACTTCTTGCATATGCATGTACACAGGCATGTATATTTTCAACATTACATGTAACTGTAAATCTTCATTAACTCTTCCAAAATGCTCTTAGATTATGAGAAGGCATTTTTTCCCACAAAATATAGGAATTAGTAGCAGGAGAACTAGGAATTTCATAACGGGGGTTGGGGGTGCAGTAGTAGGTAAAGGGATTTGGTGGCTGCATGGAAGGGAAAAGGCTTGGCGGGAATGCAAGGGCAAAGCCCCCATAAAATTGAGGAAATTCCAACGCCTGGCGTTATCCCTTTGATTTTAGAATAGCATTTTAAGCAAAATTTCATTTAAAAAATTCAAAGGGGTAGGGGGCACATGCCTGTCGCGTTTGTCCTGGATCTGCCTTTGATTAGATATTGAAAATTTTCTCATTTGTTGTACATGTAGTACAACAATTTAACTGTGTCTACTAACAGGCCGTTACTGGGACCATATAGGATATTCATCATTCAACAATAGAACATTTTATCTATTCTATATATTTTCAATTCATGTTACAGGGCTCCAGAAGGTACTAGAAAAGGACAATGCTTCGACTGAATGTGTCATCCATGTACCATTATCTGTTAATGGGGTTTATCTCATAGTTTTCTTATATGAAAACTTCCAAGTAATAGATGATGGAATTCATTTTAAATCAGGTACAGAGTAAATTTTTGGGCTGCACTTTTCTTTACTTCAATATTTAAATCTTACTAGTTCAGTATCAAGTTCACAAAAGCTCACATAACATGGCAAATCAAGGGACAATATACCTCAAATGCTAGTTCAATTTGTTATATATATTATATACTTTCTTAATAAAAATAAATCTGTAAATAACATTTGTGAACAAGTACTTTCTCCTCTGTGTGCCTTACATTCATTCCAACGACCGAAATGCATTCGACATTTAAGTTCTGCATAAAAATTGCTAACTGTGCTGTATGTTTGCACATCTGTTTCAATGAATAACCTTTTCTTAAAAATTCTTCAGTATAACAAGACCAATATTGCATGCTTATTTTAATACACTATAAATACACTTCAGAACAATTTAAGGAAGTCATGGTTTAATTTGTATATTTGGTAATTACAACTACATGTGTATTTAGTTTTCTTTATAAAGGATGTACACAGGCATATTAAATTTATACAGTAAAACTCATTTAGTAGAACACAGATACATGCATTGCGTATTCACATATATATCTAAGTTATCTTGTATCTCATGCTATATACAACTGTAAATTAAAAAAATCTTTTAAAGGTTATAACGAATTATGAATTTAGCAAAGTAATTTCATAAGCCTCAGTGACTTTTCTATAACCAAGTTTTACTGCATCATTGTTAATGCTAGTATTCAAGAAAGTATTCACTTTTTTCTTGTACATATGTAGTTGATCACTTACACCTGATGTTTTTCCAGGTTCTCTTGAAAAGTGTTTCATTTTGTAGTTTGCACCATTCCGCTACAAATACCTAGTACTTTGCCGATGGAACAGACACCAATCAATCGCTCACTACACTGATAATTCATTATAAATGGTAGGAGAATTTCCTTTGGGACAAACAAACTGTTTCAACATTTTTCATATACAAGTTGATACTGATGAAATTTTGTTTGAAGTAAACTAAAGAATGATGAGTACTAAAAGTACAAGCCAGGTGAAATACAAAAGGATTGATACAAGTCATTTAAAATTTTCATTTCTTTGCAGGTAGCGAAGAGTACACTGAAAGTATTCTCAGGATCTCGTCCGACATCATAGGTACAACTGGTCACTGTGCTTTCTTGGTTATGTAAGCAGGCTTATTGTGAAGGCTGTGATTTACGTAGCTCCAATTCCAAATGATGCTTGACTGTTTTCCATCATATCGATATCTGATGCAGTAACATAGAGCCATGTCATGTTTAAATTACATCTTCCCACTGTCACAGAGTACTGAAATAAAATCGATTTTGATTTAATATATATAAATTATATTTTTTTGTTTTCATGGTATGTAACATAAAATTCTACAGGAATTCAAATAAATTACCAATTATTATTAAATGTACATCTTCTGAAGATGAAGGTTTTGCTTTGTTCGATCCTTTGCTGATAGGGCTACTTACCTTTAATAATGTCATGACAGGATAGGTACATGGCGGGTCTTGATGCTCGATGAGTTCTCGATCAAAACATCCAATGCAAGATGTGCAGACAATAACCTGTAATTAAGCAAGCTTCTGTTACATGTCATTTGAATTTAGGTCATTTTGCACAGTTGTATGCACACCTGATAATAATTAGGTGCCTGAGAAATAATGAGTTGCTGGTGTAAATCTGGCAAATATCTATTTATTTGACACAAATCAGAATCCTCTTCATTAAATTTCGTCTATAATTTTAGAAGAAAATCAGAATAAAAATTTCCTTTTTAAACACACGGACAATATGTTTCATTTAAAATTTCTGGTATAAAAATTGTGCATTTGTTATATCTTCATATTTAGAGTGCCCCTACCGAGGCTAACGATAAAAAATTGTTTGATGTACTCCAGCAGGCCTGTCAACATCATCCCTACCCATTAGAATAATTTTTTCAGCACTTCAATTTTTTATTCCCCCCCCTAATTTCCATAGATGTTTTAAAGTGAAGGTATAATTTTTTCGTAATGTTTGTGATTTTTTAATATAACACTTATCAATTCGTTCAATACTGTAATGCCAAAAGAATTACATACCAACCAACCTTGATAAAAAGTGGGTTGGAGTACTTCAAATAAGAATATTTTAAATAAACGCCAATGTTGACCTATTATATTTGTTTTTTTTTTTAATTCCATATATCATATGTAATATGAAATTATACATTTAATCTGGCTGTTTCACCGAATTTTAATACTAGTGAGGTGAGATGACAGTACAGATGAATTATGGGTAAATGTCTAAAACCGTGGGGGTTGAGGGTAAAGCATCAACGGACAACAACAGACCATTTTGTCATTCTATCCATGTATAGAACTCACCACCTTAGTGTGGACTTTCAGTAAGACATGGCATATTCTTGACGTTACCTAATTGTATACCCATTATGTAGCCCAAAGAAGGTTCCATGTTTGTTCGCCCGATTTCTTGATCGCCCAGATTCCGCTCGCCCTAAAACTTGTTCACACAGGGTCCGTTCAACATAATTTAATGTAGAATAAAACCTAATGAATTTCTTTCCTAATTTTTGTACATTCAAAATAAAACAGACCGTCACTGTGTCCGTCAGACGTTATACATGTGCATGGTCATCGGTCACACCTATAAACAGCTCAGTTCTTCAATTGTTTTCAAAACAAAACATAGCACAAATCATAGAAATAATACGGATGTATCCCCCTAATTCACATCGATATTAATCATCTAATTCACTATAGTGCAAACACTTAGTTATGTAATTAATTTATTGCTCTTCGATCGTATCAGAATTTGAGAAAAAAAATTCAAGTTCGTAAGGGAAATAAATAGAAAAAAATTATAAACTTGTATGTTAATTTTTAATTCATATATATAAAAGTATATATAAGCATTAGGCGAACCTCATATAGGGCGAACAAGATATTGGGCGAAAAATATTTCGGGCGAAAGGATTCTGTGCTAATGAACTCTTGCGAACAGGTAGATCGGGCGAACGAACCCATTACCCCCAGAGAATGCCACGCCCTACTGAAAGTCCAAACTAAGGTGAAAATCGTCATATGCCCTAGAACTAATTTTGTTGCATCAATTTCATACCTGTATTTGATTTGCATTATGAAGAATGTTGATCAACGTCTTAGACACTGCTTAAAGCAACTGCATCTTTCAGCTGTGTTCCTCAACCATGTTCTCTTGTACTTCTGCTATAGAATAAGTTTTAATGTAATTATATGTAACTAAGTTCAAGGAATAAATTGAACAGACAGAAATTAAACCAATTGCCCACACCATATTCAGGGAACACATGCTTTTTAATTCAGAAATTTGGTTTTGTAAAAATTGTTATTGTAGTGATATGGATTTTGTTAAACAGCTGTTAAATGTTGAATACAGAGAACTAGCAAAATATGTAAACATCTAGTCCTTGGGAAATAAATGTCCACAACTATTCAATTCTCGATCCACTGATAAACTACAGGTAAAACTGAAAAAACGTATTTTTAATAAATTATTTACCCAAACAAAAGTGATGCAGCCACAGTATATATGATGTTGGTACCCATCGGACACTGACAAAACTCCTCCTCTACAAGTATAATCAGCTGATAATAACATTATCGTCCTCTGATTTAAAAAAAATCTGTTAACAGATTAATTGAATAGATGATTGGGAAACTTTTTCATTCGGGTATGACATAAAACACTTCTGTTTCGCTCAAAATAAACACGAAACAGATGACATTATCTGACTTGTTTACCTGTACTTTGATCGAAATTTTCCTCGTTGGCACTCGCACCCAAGTTTTTATGGCACACAATTCACCCATCGTAAGTCGGAGAACCCTCCTGCTTTGTAAAACTACTTAATTTTTTTCTCGATAGCTTTGTATTAACCAGAAACATGCTTAAATCAATATGTACACAACTCTGAGAGCTGCCCGGAAGTGAAAATTATCGTAAAATCTCGCGAGTCACGTGACGAGACTTTCCGACCCTATTCACGATTTATTGTGTAAAATTTGAGCCATTTTCCGGAAAACCTCGAACCATGCTGCGTTTTAGAATTAAGTTTGACCTCGAAACATCCGGTTTTGACGAAATTGTTGCACATGTGAAATGTGTCAATGTTCTAAGTTGATAATAACCCAAAACATATTTTCTAATGCCCTTTTCAAAATTGACATATTTGCTAGGCCAAATAAGGCATTTTGTGGATTGAATTCTTTGTCTGATATTTTCTATTTTAAACGACTGCTTAGATCGCGATAATTTTCAAATGAGTTAAATTGTTTCATCTCTTATTTCGACACATTAGTAAATTAAATTTATAAATCTAATGCTTAAATCTAATGCTTCAAGCCAGAGGCCCAATGGGAATCCGGATTAGAATAGGTCCTTGCTTGTCGTAAAAGGCGACTAAATGGGGCGGTCCTTCGGATGAGACGGTACAAACCGAGGCCCCGTGTCACAACAGGTGTGGCACGATAAAGAGCACTATCTGCTCAAAGGCTGTAAGTGCCAAGCATAGGCTTAAATTTGCAGCCCCCCACCGGCAATGGTGACGTCACCATATCAGTGAAATATTCTGAAGAGGAACGTTAAATAGTATACAATCAATCAACCAACTTAGAACCAGAGTATAAGCTACATAAAGTACATTGAGAATTTAAAATCTTACATGTACATGTAAAACAATACTTTCAAACAAATCACAGTGACTGTAATAGAATTTCAAGATTTTAGTTTATTGTCATACATGTAGTTGTACTTTCAGTAAATACAACTTTCTAACGTTATCACTAAATCTATATGGTGTTTTAAGGTTTTAAAATTAAATGCCCCCGTAAACGCAGTTTGTCTATATGTCTGTCTGTCTAGCTGCCTGTCTGTCTGCCAACAAAATGTTAACCTTGTCCATAACTTTTGATTTAGTGGAGCTATGACTTTCATATTTCACCTGTGTATTTCGTGTGACAAGACCTTTCTTTTGGTACCACCAAATTTGACCTTTTGACATTTAAATATTTTATATTTTTACTTTTACATTGGCCATATTTTTTGAACAGTATATACCAGGACTTATATACTTCAAATATATATTCTTGTGGAAAGACCTATCATGGGACACCAACAACCTTGATCTTTTGACCTTGAACGTGTACTTATGAAAAACTTTAACCTTGGCCATAACTTTTAAACTGTTAGGGATATGGCTTTCATGCTTTACATATGCAATCCTTGTGTGAAGATCCTGTATTGGATAACAAGAACTTTGATCCTTTCACCTTGGAGTTTGACCTACTTTTAAAAATCAAACCTAGACTTTAATTTTTAAAGAGTTAGGGCTAGTGCTTTCATACTGAACATATTTAGTCTTTGTTACTAGACCTTTCATTTAATAACATAAACTGTGACCCTTTGACCCTGGAGTTTGACTCACTTTTTTAAATTTTTGATCTTGATCATAACTTCTGAACGGTTAGGGTTAGCGCTTCCATATGTATTACATGTATTCTTTGTGGCAAGACCGTCGCCCGCGTGGCGCAGTGGTTAGAGCGTCTACTCTAGAGTCGCGAAGTAAGGAGTCAATCCTTACGTCGCGGGTTTGAATCCCACTGTGGGACATGGAGATCGGTCCTTCGGATGAGAATGTATAAACTGAGGCCCCGTGTCGCAGTAGGTGCTGGCACGAAAATGATCCTTCACTGCTCAAAGGCCCTGCGTGCCGAGCATAGGACAAAATTTGTAGCCCTCCACCGGCAAGTGGTGGCGTCTCCATATGAGTGAAAAATTCTCGAGAAGGACGTTAAACAATATACAATCCATCAATCAATTGTGGCAAGACCTTTCATTGGATACCAATTACCGTGACCTTTTGACTTTGGATATTTCTGTATTAATAAAAAAAAAATGTTTAAACTAGCTTTCCTATATTTCAATTGTATTTCCAGTGAAAATACCCTAATTTTGGTACCAATATATTCAATTTTAATTTATATAAGAAAAGTTTAATCTGCACTATGGTGCCATTAGGGGGCATCAGTGTTTCACAAACACATCTTGTTTCACAAGTCAATTTTTTTAGAGTTTTTTTTTCTTTACAAAAGAAGAATATATAGTAAAAGCAAAACCACGTAAAAAAAATTTTTGTGCCATATTATAGACTATAGACATTATGAAATCATTGACCTGCTTTGTGATGAGAAGATTGAATGATTGATTGTATATTGTTTAACGTCCCTCTCGAGAATTTCTCAGACATGTGGAGACGTCACCGTATGCCGGTGAAGGGTTTCAAATTTAGACCTACACTCGGCACTCAGGGCCATTAAGCAGTGAGGAATCTTTATCATGCCAGCGCCTACCGTGACACGGGAGCTACGTTTTTTAAGGTCATATCCGAAAGACCCGTGACCTTCACTTCTGGTGCAAAGCGCTTGGCGAAGGAACAGTCACTACCTATTTTTACGTCATAGGTTTGACCCGGGCCGGGGACGAGAATCGAACTCGGGCCTCCCAATCACGAAGCGAACGCGCTACCACAAGGCTACCTTGAACGGTGTGATGAGAAGAAGGATATGGAGAAAACGAACATAATTCAATTTCAAAGTCCATAAAACAATACAAAATAGGAGCAGAGCAAACACCGACCTTAAAGTTTGGATCAGGTGCCATGGAGGAGTGAGCATCACCTGCTGACCGGTCACACACCCAGTGCGCGCCTTGTCATGATCGGGAAATAAAAGAAAAATTCGTTGTCAATACAATGTACATGTATAAATAATGGACTAATAATAAGTATGAAAAAATCAGCCAGCATTTGACTAAGTGGTTAATTGTATTTGCTGACAAGATCATTGTATCGACCATAGAACTTACGAAATGATGATTTTAAACGAGACTGCTGATATTCTTGTTTAATCAATTGCTTTGTAATTATCTCGTTTTAAAAAATGTCCGTGCGTAGAGCATGCTCTTGCGTAGCGAATCAACTGAGATGTATACACTCCGTATGCAGATGATAAATGTATATTGCTGCATAAGTAAGGCAGGTTGACGATAGAAAAGTTATAAGTAAAATATTCAAGTATGAAAAAGATGTGTCAGACTCTTTGGTATCTTTTACCTCAAGCTCTCCAGTATATTGCGTATCGAAATTTTGATTTGAATTGACATCAATAATAAACCTGAAATATAAAAACATCGTAGGTTTTCCTTGGTGCTTGGATATGACACTTTCTTTTGCTTTCTATTATATAACTCCCTACAAAGTTTTGCACAAATGTTTATCCTTAAGTTAAAATCTCAATATTCAATTCCAACTATACTGGTACACATTATACGGGTCACCAATTTAAATATAAATTAATGAGAAAAATTACTGATTTCTGAAAAAGGTTTCCTTTATTTATTCTTCAATTTTATCCATATCATTCAAATATTTGATGAGATTTTTTCACTTAAATTGAAAAGCCACCACTTGCCGGTGGAGAGCTGCAAATTTTTGTCCTACACTCAGGGCATTTGAGCAGGGAAGGATATTTTTTGTCTTCTACTACTACTTCGACACAGGAGTCCTTTATGAGCAGCCCATTTACTGTATACATGGAAATTTTATGCCTTCGCTTTGTTTTCTCTCCTTTCGACCTAAAGAATACAGTGTAATTTCTAAAACAAATCTACTACGTAGGGAATTTTAAACGGGACATAATTATTTTCAAGTGTGAAAGGGGAAAAAAAACACGGGCGAAAATGAGCCAATGTTTTACAGCATTGCAAAACATTGATCCCACTATACGTGTATGTAAGCTTTTCCGATTTTTTTTTTTGTTATTGACTTTCTTATTCTTAAACAAGAAGTTGAAACAATTGAGCATTTAATTTTTGAATGTTTCTGTGTAAAAAGAATATGGTGTCATATAGAGGAGTGGTTTATAAAAAACTTCCATTTTACTATTAATTTTGCTATTAATTTTGATAGAAAAGATATACTGTTTGGAAAATACAACAATAAAAACATGTATAGATTACACAATATAATAACACTTACTGTTAAACAATTTATTTTTGCCAGTAGGTTTAAAAAAATTGCCTAAATTAAGTATAGTAATGTTAGAAAAAATAATTGTAGATAGAATACTGGTTGAAAAGGCTATTCTTTTAAGAAATTGTAAATTTTCAGAATATGAAAAGAACTGGAAAATTATTTGTGATATGCTATAATGTTCTTCAAATTTATACTCAAATGTACCAGAATGGTAAAATACTGAAAACTGTTCCCCCACCTCACTTTGTTTTCCTTCCTCACCCCTCCCCTTTGTTTACTTCTTTGTATATAAAGCTTTCACAATGAAGATTCATAATATACATGAATGTCATATACCTTTTGCAGCTTTATGAAATGAATTTGTAATTAGCATTTACCAAAGAGAATTTGTTTAAAGTATATAATATAAATTATATGGAAGAAAAATTATATAGTATATGTATGTATTGAATGTAAACAAATCTATTGTACGCAGTCTGTAAATGTGAAAGCAAAAATAAATTCTATGAATTAAAAAAAAAAACTTTCTTCTTCTTTGACTTTTTTTTGTTTTCATGTGTTCCTTGTATCGCCCGTGCAATATTTCATGTAAGATACATCTTAGAAATTTTTTTGCAAAGAAATATTCCACTTTGCAGTTGCAATTATTTGATTTTATCCTGAAAGGATAAGAAAAGAACGTTTTATGTTCTAGCTAGAGCTGTCTGGACAAACAGAATTGAAGAGCTAAAATTTGTCGATTGTGCGTGTCATTAGTACATTGTATGATTGGACTGAGAATAAAAAAACGTCATAAACATTTTCTTCCATCTGGACGAATTTATTTCTGCACCAAACAACGTCAGAAACATATTCTTTAAC